GATGTATCTTTATTTTCATTAATAGATAAATTTTATGAATTACAGGTAGTTTAGCATTGACTAGGATATAAAAAATAGCAATAGAGTTTGGATTGCCTACTAATGAATAATCTCAGGACTATATGTTTCAGAAAATTACTTCCTAGGAAAAGATGGGGTCATATATAACTGAATTAACTCTTACCAAAGACTTTTGTTTCAACTGTGGAATAAGCTAAGTATTTCTGAAAAAATTAATCTGAGGTTATAAGTAAGGAAAGCTGCCTACAGCCAGCTGATAGGAAGTGTCTAACCGAGGAATTTAGAGGGAATTTAGGCTAGCTGAATATGGCCCTAATTATATTATTTCCTTCATGCTAGTCTATAATGAAAACCATAATATTTAATATCCTTGTGGATTGTATTTTTTTTTATTTTGGATTTAAATTACCATTTTCTGTATTTTCTAATGTAATTTGTCCTACAACTCAAATTTGCTAGCACGAAGCCATTGCAATAAATGTTTGGTCTATGAAGTTGCACATTTAACTAATGTAATGAAAATATGCATAATATATTTATTGATTTTAATGATTAATTTTTAAGATACTGTATTCAAAAGCTGATGTCCTCGTCCTGCAAATATGATTGTTTTCCTTAATCACAAGCAAATTTTCTGTTTCAGAGTGTAAAAGAAGAACTCATCACCCGAAAAGGCTGCTTCATCTATTTTTTTTTATACTGAATGGCCAAGATAGTTTGCTATTTCATTAAACTTCCTAAGTCCCCAAGCCCTAAAGTTCTTACACACATTTACACTCAGTTATAACTTTTTAGTTTTCAGCACTTTGCTTGTAATTCAACCAAATACTGCATTTCAAATACAAAAGGCTGTTTATTTCTGTCCTTCATTTTACAAATATTTTTTTAAGTATAACGTGCAGCATATTCTGAAATATTTTTAAGAAATAACTTAACTACTCTCTCTCCATTTTAGGAAGTCTAAACTCCAAATGTTGCCATGGATTACATATTATTCTTCAGTAATTCCCTTTCCAGCTGTTCTGAAATACCAATGCTTCTGTTGACCTTGGAACTTCTTTTTTTTTTTTTTTTTTTTTTCTATGTATTAAGAATATTGGGATTAATTAGTTTGCTGGTTTTGAAGCATCGTACAAACTCTATATCATAATTCAGGCTCTCTTTTCATATACAACAGTTCCCAAGAAATTGTTCACCAGCAGTGGGAGTGTAAAGAGATTTTTGCCTTTGATCAACACTGATGGGGAATTTAGTTTCTTACATATATGGACTGGTATCTGAAATAGGCTGGGAATGGTTAGATCCTTTTCTAGTCAGTTAGAAGTAATGTATCTAGGAAAATAGCTACAGCAAAGTGGTCACTAGGTACACCTGAGATGATGTCCCTGATGACTTTTGCCAACAAATGTTTATTTAACTTTCATAGGTCCAGTTTTCTGACTAGCGTTCTGAAGTGCAGAGCACGTGATACACTATGTTGACAGGCTGCCAGACCTGTCCTATTTACAGCTGATTCTTTCCATAATGGCTGAATTAAAGATTAAAACAAAAAAACCCCATATCTGGCAACAAACATTTAGGGTAGACAACAGTCTGAGCAGTAAAGTGCTAGAGCGGATTTCCTGCAGAGGTAGTAGAGCCTTTGGTACCAAGAGCCTCTAAGAGCAGCTTAGAAGAATGACAGCATTACAATTTGTTTTATTATTATGATAAGTTCTAAATGACATTTTGAGATTGCTTCCAGCTCTGTGAGTTTGAGATTTTGATTCAGTTCTTAACATTGTTGATGTACCCTAGCAACTCAGCCAGATTCAAGTATTCCCCTGATCACTCATCCCACAGGAAACCTTGGATAGATGCGTGGGCTTTGCATCATGTCCTCAGGGTTGTATCAATCATCCTATCACCTGGTTGTAGCATGTCCTCTGGTACCTTATCTTGGGGTAGCAGTTGAACACACCTTTGTTACAGCGAGAATGAGGCTTAAGAATTACTCCCTTTAGACAAGATTTAATTCATCCTTCCTCACTTTTAAACAAAACCTCTCACACCCACTAACTGCAAAAGGCTTATAGCACAGACATTTCTAGACTCAAAAAGCCTTCTTTCTTCCCAAATAAAGTAATACTTACTTTAAAACATCAACTGAAAATGTAGAATACTATACCATAGTCATCTTGCTCAGAGCAGTACTTTAGTTTTGCATCACACCTGGAAAAAGTCCTGAAGAATGTAAGCTGTTAGGATCCCACCTGGGCTGTGTTGTTTCTCTCTTCTTTGCTATGCAATGGGTTGTTTCATTAACCTAAACCCCACCTCCCCTACTTAATGGTTGGTTTCTGAACCTGATTTCATATAAAGCATCACCTAGTACAGTCCCACTCCCTGCAACCAAGCCTGGTATTGTGGCTCTCTCCCAATGATTTGAGCAGTGAGTGGTCACCCTTGCCAAGATTCCTCTTTCCATCCTGGCAGGTTTAACCATTAGACTCCTTTTTGAAGACTGCTTGGACTAGCAGTTTGTAGGGCTTAGACACAGGAGAGGTCTTCTCAGGGTTCAGTGCTGACACCCTTAACATGACTGTCAGTTCAACTGATGAATTCAAAGGGAATAGGATTAAGTGAATACAGCAGCTGTAGCCTGGCAAACCATGGTAGGCTCAGGGTTTGCTATATGACACAGACAAATGCAAACGAGTATCAAACAGCTGGAACATAAAAAACATAATTACATCTTATTTCACTCTTCTATTGATTTATATGTTGAATTATCATTGTTTTAAGTTTCCCAACCTGTTTGTTCATTTAGGAGGGCTCTTCGGATGACTGCTCATCACACTGATGCAAAGCAAAGACTTACGGATTTCTGACTCACTGGAAATGGATTGCAGTGTGTGTGTGTCTGTGTGTGTGTTTTCATATGTATAGTTTTAAACCGGTTCAGCTTTATTCCAGCAGGTAACGACCAAGGTCTGGATTTGTAAAATGATGAGATACAGTTGAATGTTGCCTGAATAATATCAATAGGCTCAAGGCTATGCTACCTATTTGGTGAACATACTAGCTATGGTGCTGTTATTACAGATCTTTGGATAATAAGTCATGCTAAAGAGCTCTATGCTATGCAACAGTATGTATTGTAGTAAGTGAATTTTCCTTATCTTGGTTAGAATTTCTTTTATCCATTTATTTCTGAGGTATGGGAGATCTGAAATTTATCATGCATATATACATGCTCAGTTCTAGGAATGTCATAGAACTACTCACAGAACAGTCTAGGATTTCTGATTTTGCATAGTATTTGAACAACAGAGTAGCTATGAATACTCTGGCTATGAATAATATCAGTATGTTACTACTTTTTCTACTTTTTTAGACATTTGCTTACATCATTTTAGGTGTAAAATTAAAACCCCTAGTTGTTACTAAATTTAATGCTTATTTCCTGAAAAAGTTTTAGTGATTATTATGAGCACAAGAAGAAAAATAATAAAACCTTATTCTGTCCTCAAGAAAAGGTTTTGCAGTGCTGATGTTATTTCAGATAGACAGTACTCTGTTCTTCTAAATTTTGCTGAGTGAACATAAAGATGTCAGTTATATGAGCTGCTCCGCACAATTGCACATACAATGCCTTTTTCTGTAAATACATGCATGCTGTAAAAAGTCATGCAATAGACTGCAGAGAAAAGAGTAACTACCTCATATATCTTGAAAGATCATGCATACACATAATCTCAGGATGTTTCGTATTCATCTTAGTATGGAAAATAATGTGTATATATATTTTAGGTTTGTTGAGGTAGATCCCTAAATATGGCTGTAAATCTCTGATTCCTTATCAGCTTCACTGAAGTCAATGAAAAGATTCAGATAAAGTGCCATGCTTCTTTTACCATGAAACAAAAGTTGTTGGAGAATGTTTATCTTAAGAGCAAAATCAAGGTTGGTGATCACTCTAATAGGTTGATGATAGCAAAGATGCTGTAAGAGAAATATTTATTTAAAAAGGTGTTAAGATCAACTGGGAAGAATTTCAAATGCGAATAAATACCACTATAAATATTCTAATTCTGCAGTGATATATCATGGAGTAATTAACCCAGGAGAACCAATCTTCTTGGCGGGGAATAATCAGGTTTATAACAAGCATACTCCTCTGGACATTCCATTTCATTCCCTTCCTCTCTTTCCACATGAAAACGCATTTTCTGCATGCAAAGTGTGTATTTATTTGCTTTTTGAGATTAAACTAGCTAGTGTCTCATGGCATACAATGTCTATGTCACATGAGCAAAGAAGGCCAAATTAATCAAGAATATGGGTATTTAACGTTACAAGAGATTTAGACATATTTCTGCTATGCCACTGAGCATAGAACTACTTGTACCTAAAAATAATTTATTTAGTGACTGTGACTGCCTTTGACCAGAACACTGAGACCTTTCCAGGAGGTAGAAATTTGTGTCTCAAGAAAACAGCCCTCAGTTAGTTTGTAGAACTATTGAAAGAACAGAAGTATCATAAAGTAATTTTCTGTGCTTAAAAGCAGATTACAGATCAGTCTTTGGTTACAAGTTAGTGCTCAGAATGATAATACATGCCTGAGCTTAAACTAAAGAATCTAAGGATGAAATCTTGATCCAATTGAAATCAGTGAAAACTTTTTACTTACAAGCATAGAATTTTACTTCACTTCCTCTAGAACTTATTTTAAATTCAGGTTTGGTGAGGTTCAGAGAATTTGGCTCTTTCTTTAGGAATGTATTTGCTTGTAACCTTGTCCAAATCCAGAATACGGACAGTGCAGTTTTAAAATGACAGAGATGCCCTGAAACCAGTCTGCAGCATATTATGCATCCAATTTTATTATTTCAAACCTAAAACTTGCTAAGAAATCAGGCTAGATAATGTTTCTGTAGTTTTTGAAGTATTAAGGTATTTTTCTTAAAAGGCTAAAATAGATACAAAGTTGAAAGCTTTTATATACGTACACATATATAAGTGTATATATATGGGTGTTTTACAGAGTCAAAATGTTTAAAGGTAAGGGCTCCTATAGATTAAATAGCATGCTTTAAGTGATGTAAATGTGGATATGTGACAAAGTACATACTTTAGTGCACAAGTATGTTATTAGTCTGTACTTGATTATTTTGCCTTACAGAATTTCAACATATATATATATATATGCTTCAGTGTTATGTGTGTGCTTTTTTTCCCTGGTGGAAAATACTATATATATATATATGTATTAGCTTCTTTGAAGCTATGTTTGGAAACTTTTATCATAAGTGTCAGTTGCATAATTTGGTCCCAATCGATACCTTAGACTAATTACAGGATTTATAGTTACTTGTACATATTAATATAGCTTTTACATATTAATGATAATTTTGAAGTGGAACTGGATCCCTACCTTTTACTCTCCATGTGCTTTTACTCCTATGTATTTTACATGACTAAGGATTAAAACATCATCTTGACATAATTATAAGCATAATTTCACTCAACATTTTCTCTCTACTTTTGTGTTTGCAATTAAATTGTTACTTCTCTTTCTCTCTCTCCCTTAGTTACACAGTAAGGATTTTTGAATGTATATTGTCATCTAAGGTAAGCTTTCATATGGTTCTTGCATATGAAGCTTATGTCTGTTTAAACGTCATACAATGTCTGCCGAGTATGGCATGATTTTCATTATTTCACTTAATGAAAATGGTTTTTAAAATGAGTAACATGACAGTTTTAATGGATATAAATCCAGAATTTTATAATAATTGTTTGTTACTGTAATTCCTCTTAGTAGTACATCCCACTATCTTCTAATAGTGCACATTTCAATGGAATTTAACAGTGCATGAGCTAGCATGATTAATTAGCATGAATAAACTGCAAGTAATAAAAGAGCATTTTGTACTTGTCACTTATTTTCATATAGGAACATACCTCTACATAAATGAAATATTTATTCCACAGTTAATTTCATTTAAAAATGAATGATTCATATCACGACTTGCACTATATGAGTTGAAAAGAATGCCAAAAAGCATGCTTTTTTTTTTTTTTTGTCTGTATTGTGCATCTACCCAAGGTCGGGAGCAAACAGTTCTGCAACAACAACAGTGTTAAATGAGATACCACAGTCTCATAATCACTAGTAACTAATAGCACTTTACTTGGATAATCCTTGTGTTAATAAAGGTTATAAATTCCCAAAATCTGTACTCGGGATAAATGTCGTACGTAAGTATCAGTTCAGTTGCATTTAGCTGAAGCATTCAGAGACAGTGATATCTTCATCTTGGCAAAGTATTTTTGCTTTAAAGCTTTTGGTGTGCTCCAGAAAAGGCTCAGAAGGGTGGGTTTGCAACTTACAGAACAGAATACTCATGCAGATTTGTAAGAGGAATAGTAATGGTACATAGATCTCTTTCAACAAATGCCACCTTTCGCATTGAGAAAGGGCAGACTCTGAAGTTTTTAGCAAAATATTTATCTTTTTCCCACTGTTCCTTCCAAATGTCATTTGATTTCAATGAATTTAACAGAAATACCCATGTGTTTAGTTTCCATGACATTTTTTTCAATAGTGTGAAATTTCACTCTTAATTTAGATTATTTTTATTAAATTATTGCTTCTACATCAGTGGGATCTGGGTTGCCATGGTTGGTGTGTTAGACACTACATATATATTTTTATGGGCACTGAAATAAATCTTTTGTCTTGGACTGCTAAAATTATTAAATGTTCTTTAAAAATCTTTTGCCTTGTCCCTTTTTCCAGAACACTAAAGAAAACATTGGGTACTTCCAATGGTTTTTTTTATAAGCCCAGGTTTCTACTATACCAGTTATTACTACACCAGTTATCTAAAACAGGTTTGGTATGGTATTCTGGTACCTGTTCAGTGAATATGGTCTCCAACCATCATGGAAAACAGGGTGGGGGGGGTGGTGGGGGAAGGGATCGGGGTCCTTTAGTTTCACAGAGACAGGAAACAAAGTTTTGGCAGGGTGGGAGGAAACACTGAATAAAAAAGGCCCCTACTTGTCCATGGGGCTTGTCAGCATGGACGCTCACTGCTGCTGCTGCTAAGGAAGGCGCTGGCCGCAAGTGTGGAGTAAGTCCCCCCTATGGATTGGTGCAGGACCTCCCACCGCTTTCAGATCACATACCCATAGCTTCAAGCCAAGGTGATTACACGTGTTCTATTTTTTTTATTCAAAAGCAAATCCAAAGTCATTCTTCAGACTTCCCCAGCAGATCAAAGTTTTGACTTTCATCACCTCCCTCTGGACTCTAAAGGCACCTATATCTGAATTCCTGGCTTTTATCATATATGTTTCTTTTACATATGTCATCTCACCTGTTATTTTGAAGCAACAAGGTAAATATTTTGCTAAATATTTATAAACCATTATAAGATCCAACACTAGAATAATTTGAATGTCTCTGCATGTTTTCCACAACTCATCATAGTCAGGTGTTTTCTGCGTTGTTCCCTCTGAGGTGACTTCCATCTCTTACTATACTCCACCCAGCTTGATGGAAATCCAGGAGGGTTATTTTGAGGTGAAGCTTATCATAGACTGTTGCATGGGGTGAGATAAATGACGGAATGTATGATATCCTAGAAATGAAATTCACCCTGTGCAAGAGGACAGGAAAGTTTTATATAGTACAGAGATTAAATAATGGTTAATTCTCATGCTGGACTTTTGAACAGGGATGAATTTTATCACATCTCAAAACGAAGTATGCAATAAGGACTGACTAAATCTTTGTTGCTTATGCCAGAAATTAAAGGTACAAAGCTGTTGCTCCAGGGACCTTCAACCTGAAGATTGTCTTATGCCTTGTTTGTAGGTGGGCTTTCGTTCTTCAGACTCTTGATGGATGGAGTGCCTCCGCATATCATTGATTCATATATGCGTGAAGTACAGGCAGACAAAACTGAGGGGAAGTGAGATGTCCACAGTGTTTCCTCCCACTGCGCTGGAAATTGGTAGCAGAATTGCAGCATTTTAGTTCTTGCAATGACAGAACAAATGTGTGGTTGGGCCTTTTCTTTTTTTTTTTTTCTCTCTCCTTTTTTTTTTTGTTTGTTTCTTATTTTTTGTTTTGTTTTCCCTACCTGCTCTTACTGAAAAGAAAGAATACGCATGGATTGCTTTGGGGTTGAAATGAAATGAACTGAAGACAACACATGTTTTGTAATGTTAAGCTTTATTTTCTGTTTGATATTGTGCTCTGTTTTTTAATGAGGAAAGAGGAGAAGCTGTGTAATAAACACGAGGAGGTAGTCAGAGTTTGTACTCGGTGGTACAAAGCATATCTTTCTCAGACTGAAAGTACATGGATTAGCCAGTAGCTGTGCAATAAGACCCTTGGAATACATACCTCTTTGATAATGTATCTTATTCACCTGAGAATTGTTTAGCAGAATATGGTTTTACTATAACTGAATTAATACATATGTACTTAATGATCATTTAAGCTGAACATATCTTCCTTTTAGAAGTTTTGATTTCCTAAATCTGACCCATCAGTCTCTCAAATGAACTGAAATGGTTTTATTTAATGTATAATAAATATGAAGTGTTTAAGATCTATCAAGTTCTTGTTTATTATTTTCTTAGGATTTTTCCTGTCTTATCTTACCATATTTCTCATTTAATTTCCACATCCTGTAAAGCAGGAACACCTCAGTCCACCACATTGAGTGGAAAACAGTATCAGCAGTCACCTAACCCGATGGGCTTACACTTTTAAAACACCAGACAGAGAATATGAGTGAAGATAAATGATATAGACACATGCAATTTTGTATCTACGTGTTTTTAATATTTTAAATATTATAAAAGCCAACAGTAAAAGATTTCATCATTCTGGATTCACCCTCTTCCTCAGCAGTTCATGGAACTCTCGTGGGTGGTGTTGCACAAAAGGGACTCGGACCATATCACTAGTGAGTTTACTGTGCAAGGCAGAAATGCCTTAGATAAGGTAAAATGGTCACACATAATTTGGCCAGGTTGTCGATTCCCTATTGCCCTGTCATTTATTTACCAGTTCTCACTCTGGCTGTATAGATAGGATAGGTTACTGTGCTTACTGACTAAGGACTGATCTCTAATTATGGTTTATAAAGACAAAAGTCTACTTAGACCAGGAGTACATTACAAGATGGTTATTCGTCATCAGCACATTTTCAAACACCCAGCAGTCAGTAACTATGCAATAACAAAAGAATGTGCTACTATGAACTGCCACCGCTGAACCAGTGTTTTTGCAGTTGAATTATCCCTTCTTTCACTTGGGGGATCTGAATGCATTTTCTCATTTTGTTCTGAAAATTTTCCTCACTCTGAGATCCTTTTTCTTCTTTCTTTCCTTTCAATCTTTATGATTTCTTCTGTGCTGCCATCTGTGCAAGGAAGCAATTTTCCATTCCCAGTGATCCTGGACAAGCCCCCTCCCGCATTTCACCCCGCTCCTGCCAAAATCAATTATCTCCTACACATTCATTCACACCTACACATGAAAGAAGGCAACACATCTACTAAGAAGAAAATTCCATATAGGATTAATAATTTCTCTTTATTCTGGATCTATCACACCAGTGAATCGGGACTCCCTTCATGTTTTGAAGCACAGAAGGCTGTAGGAGAGGGTCAGTTTGAATACATGTCATGCAGGTTGAAGCATTTAAGCAAACAGCTCTCATTTTAAATAATATCAATCTGTTGAGACGTATTATAGTCAGCACCAAAAGCTACAGTTATTGTGAGTATGTGCTTTTCAGTAAGCCAAAAAGGACATGCGTAGCCATCTGCACTTTGTATGCAATGATGTTTACAGCTTCAAGCTTATATATCTATCGGCCTCCTCGGTCTTAATATACCATACATAATAACCTGGAAGCCAGCATAAATCTCAGCTCCTGCAGGCTCTCTGCCGATGGAATTAGCTACTCTAATTTCTACCAGATGCCAGCAGCGTTAAAAGACAGGCTAAAGTAAGCTCCTTTTCACTGTGTGACTGGTAAGCGCCCTACTCAGACGCCCTTAATTCCTCCCCTGTTGCACTGCCCAGCGTTTGCCATTGGCTGTCCCTCAGGCTCGAGACGTGCCACACCAATACGAAGTACTGGATATCGGGCCGTGGGTGGAATTGAGATGAGTGGGCATTAGTGTGCTATAAATTCATGCTCTCACTAACTATGCTGACCAGCCAAGGCTCTGGATTAAAAATTAATTGAAAATGACTTTGAGAGGAATGATAGGATGGGGTGGAAGAGGAAAGGGATTTCTGATAGATCTAAACCAGGCTGCCAAACCTTACACAGACAATAACAAAAGATAAAGTTTTGATTTACGATGATTTGTTTAACAGGATTCTCCAGGGATGGTGTTTGATAGCTGAAATAAAGTGTTATTTAACCAAAATAGAGTTATTTAACCAAAACCACAGTTAAGAAAATGCTAATGAAATTACTTGGAGGAAGAAGGCAGACCCAAACATGTATACACACACAGATACACACACAGAGAAAGAACAAAGTTAATAGAAAAAAAAGTGGTTTATTTTTAAAGAAGCCAGAGGAAAATATTTTGTATTCTCTTGGCTTGCTCTCCTTGCCCAGGGAATGGTATTGGGTATATAAATGTTACTGTTGTATAAATATGATACATTGTCAAATTGCCGTATGTGGAGCTTGATGCAGGCATTGTAGTTATCCATTTGCATTGAAGACCATGATCAGTGTCAGCTCATTTTTTCCTTACTGAAAACAATCTCACAAATATAGAAAGAGAAGCTGAAAAAAACCCCACATGCAAATATTTTAAAGAATGCTTAAATAGGGATATGCTGTTTATAAAGATGTCTTTACTGAAAGGCAGAAATTTTTAAAAATAGTCCTTAAATAAAAAAAAAAGTTTCAAGCTTCCTGAACTTCCTTTTAAGAAAAAAATAATTTTAAAAGAAGTATAATATTGCTACCTTTTACAGAGCATTGTGAAGGGAGACTTACTTTATGAATGTGTTTTGTTGCATTTTGGATTCTGGAACAAAAGGCATTCTATTTTAAGCACAGTGTACTTAATGTCATTTGATTTTCATGGCCTGCTTTCCTGACTGACAAGTAAAGCTGCTGCTTTGCTGAAGCAGAGATCATTTGGATGCAAAATACTGAGGAAGCACTGGAAGTCTAAACACTGGACTTGAAATTCTATGCTCTCTTATTCTATGCTTTGTTGCTGATTTTTTTTTTTTTTAATTAAAATAAACCCTCTCCAAGGTCAGTGAGAAATTGAGTAGAAAATCTATTTATTCCTGTACTCATTTGGCCCTCACTTTTTACACCACTTACTTTCTCTTCCAATTCTTCTGCTAGTTTGTTTTCTCTTCTTTTCTTCTTGGAGCTCACAAGGAGCTTGAGCAGTAACTCCATAAATACCAGTACCATTGTGGTCATAGACCACAGCGATGCACAGGGTATTAAAAGAAACAGCATTTTACCTTTTTCCAAACCCAGTGATTCCAGTGAACTGGGGATCCGTCTGGTTTTTAATCTAATTGTCACATTTCCCTTTTGCCATTCTCTAGTTGGCTGTTATTGAATCTTTCCTTATCATGTCATGTACTGCCCTCTCCTATGCTGGCAGTTCCTCTCTTCTCTGTTTTGGCCCCTAATCCCAAGTGCTGTATCATACCGTATTTACTAATCTGTAAATGAAATCAGCAGATGAACAACATCGCACTTTGGACACGTATATCATGCCAAGGGATTTTGAAATAATCTTTCTGCGTATGTCACTCATTTCTGACCTCAGCAGTAGAGAAAGCTACTCAAAAACACACTAGCTTTATCAGACAAAGGGAATCAGCTCAATTTGAGCAACAGGAAACTGCTCTGTCCAGGAAATTGGCCAGAAAGCTGCAGCCCACAATGGAATAACTTAAAAAAGGATTGCTGATTCTAAGAAGATACCATTTGGGTATATAATACTCATCACAGGTTTGTATTTTATGCTTTCTGCTTTCATCTTTCACCCAGCTACACAGTGCTCACCTTTCCTTGGCCACATTCAGAAACCACATGCCTTCCCCAAGAGGCAGGGATACACCTAAATCCGTCACAATCCAACAAGCCAACAATCCAAGTAGTTTGAAGTGCCTCAATTTCTGAAAAGGCGTATCTGTTTGGAGGCACCTTGTCTAAGCAGGTCAAGGAGGTAAAGGCAGTCAGTCCTGCGTACCACAGTCTTCATTTGCCCCGTAGCACGTAAGAACCCCACCCCCCGGGCAGTGGGTCTCCCCCGGAGGTGGAGGACCCCTCGGTTTGCACAGCGGGGGTCACCCCCCAGCAGACAGGGCAGCGGAGTCCCGCTGGCCGCAGGGCTGTTGGCAGCCGCACAAGCCCTGCCTTTATGCCTTGCTCCGGCAGCAACCCTCGCCTGCTGCCCGCACCCCGCTGCGGTGGTCAGCTGCACTGAGACGTGCACAGGGGAAATATGAGTAGCAAAGTCAGAGAGGAGAGGGGCATTCAACC